GATTCTTCGGTCGACTGTGTCAACTCATTAATAATTATAAGATTTGTTTATTAGCAATTATTGGAACCTCATATTAAATTTATACCCAGTTAAATATGTTATATACATTGACAATTGACAATACTTACATAAAAATTTGATCTTCTAATATAAGCGTTCTAACAAAAAACAAAATAAATTAATATATTTTAGATGAGCAACGAACAATCGACCTCGGCTCCCCGCCCTAACTATGCGCCCATGTCCGAAGCGGAGCGCAACAACGAAGGAGCTGTTTGGGTGACCCCTGCAGAAGTTCTTTTGTAAGTAGTAATGAAGAAACCTTATTTTCAATAATTTTATATAATGTTAAATAATCTAACCAAATCTTATATAAATAAATACTATTAATTTTTTTAAGTGACGAACAAGTGTTCAAAGGCATCAAAAGCATAATCGGAGGACACTTTCTTGGCACTTGGGCCACGTACTCGGATGTTGACCCCAAGGTTCGCGAACTATGGTGGAACCTGTTCAAGGTAAAAATAAATGAATGTTCCCTCCCTGATTGTATTGGCCTAATATATACCTACTGATTAATTAATCCAATTTGTTTTAATAAAGGCTCGCTATCGTTGGACTCACGCAAACGGTGCCGATATTCTTAAAGCCTACAATGCTAGGATTTCGACTTGGCTTCGCGCCACTTTTAAACGTGCGCGAAAAAGTTCGAAAAAGCCTAAATGGGTTTCGGATGAAGTGTGGTCCAACCTTTGTCGCCACTGGTCTTCTGATCCGAAATTCTTGGCCAGAAGTGAATCCGGTAAGAAAAACCGGATGTCCGAGAAGGCCTTGGAGATGCAGTGGCACGGGGGCCGCAAATCTCAGAATGCCCATAAAGAAACTCTTGTAAGTGTTATTCAAAAAACCTTACACCATCACAATCCTTCATTATACAAAATTTACTCAAGTCTTTTTCAAACCATTTAGGCTGGTCCTGAGAAGAAGAGGGTTGGTGTTCTCCGGCTCGTCAAGCATTGCTGGACGAAGCACGGCGAGGAATCTGAAGCCGATCTGCCACCCCGCCTCGCTGACTTCGAAGTATGTAGCATCGTATTTTGTTATTTAGTAACATATCAAATCTAAGTATGTAGCATTTCAAAAATATTTTTTGAAAATGCAGACGAAGTACAACGAATCCGTTGAAAGGCAGCGTGCGGCACGAGGCTTGACCCAGGAAGACGACCTCGATTCCGATGCGGATGATGAGGCGGCCATTGAGGCGGCCGGGGTTTACAAGGGCCGGGTTCCGTGCTTGGGGGCCGAGGGGCAACGGATTTTGTATGATCGAAGCACCGGCGCTTCCTCTTCTCGGTCAAGGCGGGGAGAAGATCCTCGTATTGCTACAATGCAGCGTGAACTGGAGGAGCATGAACGGCGATGGGAGGAGCAGCGGAAAGCAGATGAGGCCACAAAAGCCCGGTTGGAGGAGATGGAACGGTACATGCGTGCCGGATTTCAGCCTCCGCAACAGCCTTTTCCTCCCCCGTACGTATTTCACCCTGAGCAAACTCCTCAAGTTTCGCACATGGGCGGTATGGGATTTTTCCCCAACTCCGGATATGGTGGCATGCCTATGATCTCCCCGAATTTCGGATCTATGTCCTTTGATTTTGTGAGGTCATCCGGAGGAGGTAGTGGCACACCGAGCCATGGAGCCCGAGGAGCACCCCGAGGAGGACACCGAGGAGCACCCCGAGGAGGAACCCGACCTGACCCCGAAGACCCTCCCGTGAACCCAGATGAGTTTCTGGTTGATGATGATGATGAAGAAGAAGAAGAAGAAGAAGAAAATCCTAATTTTTTTCATAATGGAGTCCCACGAAGGGACATGTAATCATCATACATTTGTACTTTGTTGTTTGTCAAAACATTTAAAAGTTTGTCACAATATTTATTAAGTTTGTTGTATGTCTTTACTTTTTAAAATGTAATTTTAAATTTAAAAAATTAGAATAATATTTTCAATAATTCAATAGTATAAAAACATGGATAAAAATGAGAATAACATTTTTAAATTTAATTTGTAAAAATACGTATTAAAAAGAAATTTTTAAAAACAACTTTCAAAAAAAATGGATTTTTTTTTTTTAAAAAACAAAAATAGTAGTCACGGCCTTATCCGTGACTACAGTTCGAAATTATTTTTGGTTTTTAATAAAAAACATTATTTTTTTTTTTTAAAAACTTAGTCACGGTCGACAACCGTGACTTATTAAAAATTTAGATAACACCCGCGGGCGGTCTTTTGAAAAATTTGAAAATTTTAAAAATTAGTCACGGCCCACTGCCGTGACTAATATTATTTTTTAAAAAAAAAAATTATAGTCACGGTCACAAGCCGTGACTAACACGTCGGAGTGGGGTTCCCGGGATGAAAATAGTCACGGTCCTTGACCGTGACTAATCCGTGACTAAATTTAGTCACGGTTATGTGGCGGTGACTTCATTTAGTCACGCCAATTAAGACATGGATTTAGTCACGGCGGATGACCGTGACTAATCTTTTTAGTCACGGAAATTTTACACTGCAGTCCGTGACTAAATCCGTGACTACGTCCGTGTTTTTTTGTAGTGCCATCAATAAGTCGTCCCTCACTTTCATGAAGTGTGACGAAGCCATCAGTTCAATGAAGTAGTCGTTCACTATCTCTCCTTCATATGATTCAAGATGTCAAAACTTCTTTAATCCGAATGCTAGCGGTAACAACTAAGGTCGAAACCGAGGTTCGATTGGCCTTTAATTACTAAGGCATTGAAATGGGTGAAACAAGAGAGATTTTGATACAAGGAGGACGGAGGTAGTAGTTTGTTGTACAAGAGAGATTTTGGAGAGTTTAGTCGTCAAGAAGTTGTCCACCAAATGAGGGCGGGTCGCCTCTCTTAGAGCATCTCCAATGCTCTTCTTTTCACATTTGCTAAATTTTTCCAAATGTCAAATAAATAGGATACTTTCTATCCACATCAAATACAAATGGAAAGAAAGTAAAAGGAGTCCTCCAACGTATAATGCTAATGGGCACTATATTACTTTGCTGTCATTTAATTAATTCAAAAAGAATTAGAATAGAAAAGGAACCTACGGTAGACAGTTTCTTCTACATGACTCCGTTCCATATTCCCGTAGTTTCTTCAAGAAGTTGTCCACCAAACGAAGTAGTCGTTCACTATCTCTCCTTCATATGATTCAAGATGTCAAAACTTCTTTAATCCGAATGCTAGCTGTAACAACTGAGGTCGAAACCGAGGTTCGACTGGCCTTTAATTACTAAGGCATTGAAATGGGTGAAACAAGAGAGATTTTGATACAAGGAGGACGGAGGTAGTAGTTTGTTGTACAAGAGAGATTTTGGAGAGTTTAGTCGTCAAGAAGTTGTCCACCAAATTAGGGCGGGTCGCCTCTCTTAGAGCATCTCCAATGAAGTGTGACGAAGCCATCAGTTCAATGAAGTAGTCGTTCACTATCTCTCCTTCATATGATTCAAGATGTCAAAACTTCTTTAATCCGAATGCTAGCTGTAACAACTGAGGTCGAAACCGAGGTTCGACTGGCCTTTAATTACTAAGGCATTGAAATGGGTGAAACAACAACCTTATCGAGTCCTAAGCACCTTGAGCCGAGTAGTTTTTATCGTCTTTTCTTTGATCCTTGGCAGTATTTTCCCTTTTTGAAATTCCCAGAGTGATAGTGACCGGAAAAAGTTGTGCTACCAAGATAAATTTTGACCATTAATTATTCAAATTTCACGCTACTTTTATCACACAATAACTATCCTCAAAATGTTAATTTATTATAAAATTTTATAAGTATGTATTTTTATATATTTAGGATCAAACTGCATCCTATAAAAGTTAAATTAGAAATTTAATTGAGGGACAGAGGGAATATTTATTTTGAGTCTTGCCGTATACCCTCTAAGAATTTGCTTGGTAGTTTGGCACATTAAAGCTTTCCAAACCATCACTTTACATGTATAACTTTTTTTATTTAAATATGTTTTTAGTCTTTGCAAATACATTTTGTTTTACATCTTTGCGAAATTATTATTTTGTTTTTCGTCCCTTCAATTTAAGTTGGTTTTCTTTTTAGTCCATCATTTATGATAACAACCTCCCTTTTACATCAAAATAACCCCGATTAATAGATTTCCTCTAATTCTTTGTGGTGTTATTCAAAAAGTATATAATTTTATCTTTTAGAAGATTTTTTATTTACATTTTTAAAATGTGAATACTTAATTTTATATTATTTTAACTCGCATATTAGCAACAAAAAAAATTATGAAAGCACAAATTTAAAAAGTTCTAGTACATTTATGTAATCGAAAGTAGTTTTTTTTTTGTAAATAGAGTAGTTTTAGAATTAGATATGAACTAAAAACAAAATAGAACATAGGGAAAATGACAACTAATAATCCAACCTTTAACAGTCTTTTTACAATAGTCTCACTTATTCTTTATTAAAAAATAATCCAACCTTTACACCTCATCTTCATTCGCTGGTCCCTGATCCGTTAATGACCGGCTATTCCAAGTTATTTTCTTATCTTTGCAAAATATTATCTTTGTGATAGGTGAGATTTATGGTATAATGGTTTGCAAAGATAAGAAAGTAACTTGGAATAGCAGGTCATCAACTGGTCAGGGACCAGTGAATGAAGATGAGGTGCAAAGGTTGGATTATTCATGAATAACGAAAAGGTGAGACTATCGTAAGAAGACCGCTAAAAAGTTGGATTATTAGATTCCATTTTTCCTAGAACATATTGCAGGGATGAAAAACAAAAAAAAAATATTTTGCGGGGACCTAATTAATGAACTTTACAAGTATAATTAAGATACAATGTTTGGTCACATGTATAATTAAGATACAATGTAAGTGTGTAAATATTTTTAAACTACAAACAAAGTTGTTGCAACTCTTTAAAAAAGATCTAAATATTTTACCACTCCCCTCACATAAATATTTTTATATGGTACAATGCCAAATATCGAAAAAAACTACCCTGCAATTTATGTAAATTAGTCAAACCAGACGATGTAATCTTTCACATCTACACATTTTGCCATTAAAGTAATTATTTCACATGCTGTCAAATGAGATCGGTTTATACATACAAAGATGGCTCCCACAATAATAGTACGACATAAAGAAGAAGCAAATTCGAGCATCGATATTGATCAAAAGATACAAAATAAACGAAAGAGCAAAACTAGAAGAGGTTAGCTGACATGGAATATCAGCAGACTCCCTAAGCAACACAGCATCCGAATTTACATGTCACATAATAAATGAAGATACATTTAGAAATTCCAAGAGAACTTCATCTTAAACATTGAAAGAATGAGCTTTATGAAGGAACTTTAATCACATAATATCAAGAAAAAAACAAAAGAAATAGGAAGGAAATAGTACTTTAGCCTAAGAAATCTTCCGGGACTAAGGAAATTATCCCGATTTACTTATACATCAAGCAGACATATCGTCCGTATAAGAACATTGCAAAAGAGTTGGCCCTAAAACCATATAATGGGACTTATTCCGGAAGAATTTAAAAAGATTTGACACACCAACTCACAGCCTAATCGATACTAGCTGTGGATTCATTTAGTGCATAGAAGGTATGATTATACACCAGATTGGCGAATTAGAGATGGGATGCAAGCTGGCGGAGAGCCACAACAACAACAAAAAAAAATCTATCTTTATAAACTAGATGCAGCACTGATATTTGTGAGCAACAAAATTAGAGTCAAGAACCAGAATATCAGACTGCCACAACTCAAGGTAAACACAAAGGTCGATCCACCAAGAAGCCTCTACAAAAAAGAGAGAGAGAGGATGACACAGAGCCAAGATCTGGAAGGCCAATTAATGGTGTACAAATTTACTCAGCGACTGCAAAGAATATTGTTAAATGTCCCACACCGGAAAAGTTTGGATAAACAAAGTACTATATTCACACATGGATTACTCCTCCTATCAGGTTGAACTTTTAGGATGGAACTCCGGGTCTTAACAGATATTGTACAAATTAATGGTGTACAATATCTTTTGGGACTAAGGCTTGGATGTTGTTGTTGTTGCTGCTGCATAGGATAATTTTGCCTATGAAGGTTCACTAGCTATAGAAGAGCTGAACATATGTATCTTCATCATACATTTCTGAGCTTCTTGATTCAACTATAACAAATGTGAAAAACCAAAACTAAACGCTCATGTACTTGCAGGGCACAAGATATTGTGGTGGGCGGAGAATGAAAGTATTAAATTGATAGACTTCAAGGGATGGGGAATGCATAGTAGTGAAGGTTGAGAAATCTAAAGGACTACAAATCTTCTAATTGTGAACACAGTAGTTCTGGACTCTGGAGTGTCTTTTCGAGTTAAGAAAGACTGGAATATAGGGGTTACATCACTTAAAAACAAGCAGAAAGTACTTGTGTCAATTTACTTACTACACAAATTACAAATTGATTGGGGTAATCAGCTATCATTGGGGAAGATGGAGATCATAGATCAACCAAAAGCATGCTTTCTATAATAGAAACAGCAACAAAATAATCCCATACGATGTACAGAAGACGTGTACTCCAATATAGCCTTATTAGTTATCACAACCCTTAACTTTTCTATTAATACACAACTCTATCTGGAGATAGTATTACTTGCGTGTTCTCAACATGTTTTAGAGTACCTTTTCAAATGACATAACATATTACATAGAAAAAACATTCCCACATCATATAAAACAAGCTGACATTATGGGAAGAAATGCATGCTCACCTCATGCAACATAAACAACATAGGGAAGCTTCTCCTCATCAAAAGGCAAACTCACATAGTCACCAGCAAACTCCTCTGCAATCTCAAAGGGAAGCTCCCCATGCAATGCTTTGCAGTACATAAACAGAACCACAATTGCAGCAATGCTCTGCAACATAAGGACAGTAGCAAGGCCAGAACTGATCACCATCTGCAAAATAACTGCCCAACTCCACCGTCCACCGGCTACCCCCACCTGGAGCAAGAAAGTAGAGCAGCTGGCCACCAGCAATACGATAAGGAGGTTGAAAAATAGCAATATTGAAAATGCTATCCCTCTCATTCCCTTCACCAAATCTGAACTTCTCCTTAATGGCCCGTACCCCCATCTGGATTCAACCACTGCAGCCACTGGAGCAAGTATCCAATTAACATGAAGAGATAACAAGACATATCCAACCACTACAGCGTAGAGAATCGCCACCGCGTAGAAGTAATTGGAGTCATAATCAACTCCAACTCCTAGCAATTCAAGGCCTTTCAATACAGAGAACCCAAAAAGACCAAAGAGCAAAACAATCGAACAAAGGATGAGTTTTGAAACTATGATGGTCGAAATCATGGGTAAGAAAGAGTACAAAAGTGACTTGAAAGAAGAAATTAGCTTCACTGGTCTACCATAAAAGCCGTGGAATGTGCTGTAGGAGACCGTGGACACGGCGAACAGGTGGGTAAGGAAAACAAAGAGGACGTAGGCCAGAGGTAGGATAAAGAACCGAGCGTCTCCATCGGTGTCTTTCCGGGTCGGGTCGGACACGAGGAATTTGCTGGTGTAGAAGGAGATGGAGCCCGGATGATAGAGGGCGTCGTGGAGAGTGGGGTAGATGATGAGGGAGAAAGAGAGGGGAAGGAGGAAGAAGACGGAGAGGGCTAGAAAATGGCGGGAGTGAGCATTGACGATGCGCTTGGATTCGGATAGGACCCCGCAGAAGGTGAGGGCGTGGAAATAGGGGAGAGGAGCAGACATGGAAGACGACGACGGAGTTTGACTGAAGAAGATGATCGAGTCCAGAAAGCGCAGGTTGAGTGCTGGAATAGTCTGGTTTCAGGGTTGACCCGACAAGCTTTATCTTGAAGAAGACGATGCGTAAAATAAAATAAAGTAGTCCGTATCCATCAGGGACTAAACAATTAGAGGTTTACTAACTTTAGTTGGTGATGCTACAAAATATGTGAATCGGCTGATTAGGTAGATTTATTAAAAAATTACTCTGTATATTTTAAAATGTGGAGTAATTTATTAGAAAAAAGATAAAATTATATACTCCCCCGTTCTTTATTATTTGTCCCACTAGCCTTGACTACGAGTTTTAATATTAAATTAGTATGATAAGTATAAAATGTGTAGGGTAAATGATAAAGTAAGAAAAAGAGTGTATTATGTAGAGTAAAGTGATGATAAAGTATGAAATAAAAAGTAGTTTGTAAAAAGTAAGTGAGGTAAAAGTAATAAAAGTGAGAGTGTTTTAACAAAAACTTTCCTTAAATGGAAAGGAGGACAAATAAAAATAATGTCCCAAAAAGGAATGCAAGACAGATAATAAAGAACGAAGGGAGTAAAAAATAGTTAAAATAATTTTCTATACTAATTTCAATCAATATATCTAGAAGAGTAATTTATATAGTATTACACAATTCAGTGACATAAATGAAACATTAACAAAAAAGTTGATTGATAAGCCTGATTAACAAAAAACAACATGAATATTAAATGGACTCCTAGCCTCTTGGGTACTAAGTACTCCTCGTATGTATTTTTGAATTAGATAGTAATTTAATATTTATTCTATGTAGATTTTATGTTTTATGAGTTGTGATCTAACTTGACTTGTTCAAATCTAAGTTAGTTAGGTGTGACATAGGAATATGTTCAATTAAATTTGAAAAATACATCTTTTATTTAAAAAAAAAATCAAAATGGAAATACACAATTTCTCTAATCATATTTAGAGCAATTTTTAATTCATTTATATTTTTATAAACGATAATGACAATTGTGTCAATCCAAACCAAAATTGAATTTCATCGAATTGTGAACATCAAATATCATTAACTGCCGATAATATATTCAATAAAAAGATAAAAACACTCAAAATCAAACAGTACTCTAATGCAAATTTTCATTTGGCAATCAATTTATCATTAATTTTAAGAGTAATGTTTGGTGTACATATATTTTGTAAATATATGATGTACATTTCTATTAGTTATCTATCTACAAGGCAACTTTCTCAACGAATGACTTGTGTAAATAGATAATTAGAGGTGGACATTAGGGAAAAGTTCAAATACAAAAATGTCTTTATATGCAAAGTGAGAATAAATGTTGTATATTTATTTCCACATCTAATAGTTCAAAACCAACAAAAAATGCACTCGGTAAAAACGCTGTGATAATTACTTAAATAAATGGAAATGTCTTGTCACTACACAAAAGTGAAACAAAAAAGTAAAACAACGCCATAAAAAAAGAATGCAATCGTTCATGCTTTGAATGGAAACACATCTTTTTATTTGAACTCTCTGTGCACATTATGTGCACACAAAAGTATCCATGGATTTTCAATTTTGCTCATTTTAAAACGAACGGAATGAACCCAAAATGAGGGAATTTGGGCAAAGAGAAGGGGTTGGTTGCAATGTTTAGAGTATTTTAACCTAAGCCGGGTATCACTCCCGCCATTTTTGCTTAAAGAGAGTACAGGTCGGAGGATGAGCCGCCTGAACGGTAAACACCTGAAAACGGAAGGTTCCATTTCCGAATTCATTTTATAGCTCAAATACATTTTTACTATCGGCGTATTTGAATCCAGATTCTTTCGTAATGGTCCTTGTGAATTTGTTCAATTTGTTCGCTGGCCTAAAATACGTGTTTTCATTTCTAGTATTTGTTCAGTCATCACCTCCGTTCTTTCTGTTTTCGTGTTTCTGTGAATTAGGTCACATGGATTGGTGGGAAGGTGTTGATGAAACCCGTATTCTTATTGCGCCAGGTAGCTTTATTGGCATCTTGTTTTGTTAAGCGTCAGCTTTGACAGTCATACACCCACCACGTTTCTGAACTAAAATTTGCAGGTCCTTCTAAGGTCGGGGATGATCCAGGGAAACTTTTATCTCTTCGGCATCCTAAATCTGGTTTGGCTCATACTTCTTTTGTGTGACCTCTTTCCTCGGAGAAAGTTTTGTTTTGTACGGAGTATCTTTTATGCCATTGATTGTCCCCATATAGTTTCCATTTGATTGTGAACTATAATTGTTTGTCTTAAACCCTTAGTAAGTACAACATATCTTTGTGATAGCTATCAGCCATAACATCTTATATTCAGTAGTCTAGATGAAGAGGGTAAGAGGCCATCATAGCTTTTATACTTTAATTTCAGTCCATGCATGGCTTTTGAAATGCTAACTTCTGCAAACAGGAGATGCAACATGCTACCTCTTTGTTAACAGAACTCTTCAAGAAGTTCATTGGTTCAAGCAATCTTTTGGCTCTTGGTTCCTTGGTGATTATGTGTGTGAAGGTAAGGAACCATTTCATTTTGTATGTAATAACTTGATTTCCAAGACATTTTGTTAACATACTCAAATGCAATTCGCATTCAAATTTAGATGGGAGCCTGTATACTGCTACTCCTATAGATCCTGTCTTTGTTTTGTTGCCCCTTTTTGAAGAAGCACGGATGACGAAGGTATGAATCAGTTTATGTTGCCCTTTTGAACTTTTGATCACAACTACATCTGGCTTAGTAAACTACTCCCATAGTTCTTTCAATTGATTATTTAAATTTACTTGAGAAAATCAATATTGATTTCTTTATTTTCCACATGTTTTCTGCAAGCATATGCTTATTTAATTTTGTGTGTCCTTACAGCAGGCAAATAAAGATGATCCGGGAATGTTTAGGCAGTTGGATGAAATTATTTATGTCAGTGATTATCCGGGGTATCAGTATCTTTCATCCATTGCTGAGAAATCGATGCAAGTAGTTTGTGATTTTAAAGGTAATCTGAAGAGGGTACTCCCTCATCTCTAAATTGACACCAGTTTGACTTTACACAATGTTTATGAAACACAGAATTGTGTGGCTGATACGATACTTATTTAGAAAATAGAAAAAAATATGAACCACATATTGCTTTTCATAAAGGAAATGGGCAATAATTTTAGAAGAATGGATCAAGGGAAAAGGATTGTGTGAAGAACTGAAGATTATCTAGGGACATCCGACTTCGGATGATTCTTTTGCAGGGGTCTATCAAATTCCATACATGCTGTAGTCAGAAATATGTTCCTTAGTACTAATTAAACTTCTCTTTTTTCTTATTTCAAGCAGAAATGGGATCAATGAAGTTTTATAGGCTTAACAACGAAAAGGTTTTAAAATGGATGTGTTTTAAGGTAAGCTAGACCCTCTTCTGAAGTGTATACTGGTATTAATATCTTTTTACTTTTATGTCAAGAGTTCGATACCCAAGTCTGTTTAAAACAGTAGTAGGGAACCATTGACAGGTTCTTTTTGCATAAACACAAGTTCATATCTCTGCTCTAACTCTGACCAATTTGTAGGTAGAAGAACTAAGGAAGACCTTGGTGACTTTGGATAAGAACTTTGCTGCTAGGGATAAGAAAGATACATGTATGGCTCATATGGTAGATTTTATTGCTCCTATTTTGTCGCTATCACATATCAATGGGTTCAATTTTCCTTAAGGGTCAGTTTGAATGCAAGGTTTCAGGTTTGGGAGGGTAAGACTGTAAAGGGTTTACTTCATTCTGATGAATAAAATATTTTTAAAAATGAAAAAGTGGTTATTAAGATGTTATATGTTCACCTATCATGTTAGTTCTTTAGTTTTGCTAGAAGTGTTAATCTTCTATATATCAAAACAAGATTTATATATATATATATATATATATATATATATATATATATATATATAGCCCTCCTAAACCTTCCACCAAACACATCCTAAAAGGATTCTGTACTACTCAATCTGGCCCTTGTAATTTTGCCAAGTTCGACTGGCACGTGGAATAATAAAGTAAAAATTGTGTGGTTGCGTTTTGTGTAGAACAGAGATAAATTATACTAGTAGGAATCACAAATTAATTGATCAAAAGAGAAAGTGACAAAGTTTTTGGGACAATCGAAAGAGGAAAGATGAGAAAGTTATTAGGGACGGAGGGAACAATGGTTCCATAGTGTATCATGTTCTGCATTAGGCATATAGGTTGACAGCGCAAGTTTGGAGAGGTCTTGATACACAAGCCTAATGCTTCTATAACACCTTTCTCTGCATGTGCAAGAGGGGTTCTGTGATAGATATATAGTTCCATGATTTATATACTGCATAAAGAGTTGGGTGAAGAAGAAGCAGAGAACAGAAGATTACAGATAAGGATAATAGAATCCCTTTTTAACCGAGGAGTTCTAAAGAAACATAATAAAAATAAAAATAAAAAGAAATGATAAATCCTCACCTTGAAAAATCTAGAGGCAACAAAAAAGTGTAAAAGATGATTAATACTCCGTAAGTGTTAACAACTTCACCTTTTTCATATAATTAGAGACAAATCTGGTAGTATTGTTTTCTTGCTATTGATCATGGACGTTATATGGGATTTAATGTTTGGCAAAAGATACATAGGTGAAGTTATTAATGTTTGGAAAAAGATACATAGGTGAAGTTATTAATGTTTTTTTGTGAGTTGTGGCATTCCTCAATGTAATTTAGATGTGTTGAATTGTGGATAGAGCAACAGCAATTGGAGTTCAAGCAAGTATCCAAGGAATTTCTCCTAGTCTTTTTCTTATATCAAACCTCTTTGCTAGTTATAAAGTACGGTTCAGCTTGATGGCAGCTCCTGGCTCTTGCTACCAAATATACTATCGTATTGTACATATTTATACAGTAACATATTGGTTGTTGATTAGTGATTGGTACAGTTTTTTCTACTCACCCGCCATAATCCTTGACGATTTTTCTACTCAACATGTCATTTCTTGGGCTCAGTGATTGATACAGTTTCAATTGTTGGAGAATACTTGAAGGAAGAACCTTGGTTAAAGCTCCTTTGCTGTAAATTAAGGTATACTGTGTATTACATTTCAATTAAATGACACTATATTCCACTTAACTGACTCAACTTGTTGGGATGGAAAAACCGACCCAATGAAAAGAAAAATTACTTTCCTACTAAATTTTCCACCATTTTTTTGGTTGGATTGACATGAAATAAGTTCAGTCTACAGTCATCTGATTGCATTTGCAGGATAGACCTGAACAAGGAAACAAAAGCATTGGGTGCTGAAAGCATTTCATCATCCATAGGAAATCTTTTTGACCAGGTGAAAAATTAATCAAAAAATTTGAAGTACTATAATGTGGAAAAGGATGTACTTGTCTATAGTCTATCTTCTATTTCTATGGTTTTTATTAAAACAGCGTGCATGACAAATACTTTGTACTACTTTGAAGAGAGTTGAATACATGTTCATTGCTATCTCTTTCTCTCTCTCTCTCTCATCAGGGAAGGAATGGAAATGATGGTAAACCCACTGAAACAAGACGACAAGCCAATAAGAAGGCCAAACTGGAGACAAACTCCCATAATATCAAGGACATGTTTAGTAGGGCTACAAGGAAAAAAAAGTGAACTGGACAAGCCAACCAAAGAGATTGAAGAAAGCATTCTTGAGCGGGAGTTCAAGAATATATTAAAGCCTTGAAACAAAGTTTCCCTGTTTAAATGGAATATTGCATCACCCGCTATTTCTGCAAACCGCTCCGTACAAGAAAACATTATTTCACATGAGTTAATTAATGTATTACTAGTCCAAACTGGCATCGATTGATTGGGCTAAGCCACCAGTGTATTGTGCTTGCAGTGAGTAGTGAATAATTTTGTTACTTTTGTAATGGTTTTGCTCAAAACCATTTTGTGTCCAAATCTAGAGGACAAATAGGTTGAGACTAAGGCTTGAATGTTATTGTAAGCTTTATGAAGCTGTGTTTGAACAATGTACATAAAATTTTGCAGGGTTCAATGGTCATAAATTTTAGTAGAAAATATGTCAATAGTTTTTTTAATCATTATTCATTTGAAAAAAACACAACTATTTTAGTTATGAACAAATTCTTCACAAGTTTTGAGATAAATGGTCAAATATAGCCTCAACTGTAATACCCTCTCATAGCATTAGCCACCATAGAGGCTTGGACTGGTCTGATTTTGGGCTGAGTTCTGGTTTTAGTTCACCATAAAATGGGGCAAAAGTCTTGTTTTTCACAAAGCTCTGATTGGGTATAAAACAAAACAAAACAGGAGACTGCGTGTTGAAATAAATAGTATTTAACACAAAATTATATAAAAAACCACAGCTTCAAGAGTGTTTTTCCTATTTTGAAAGGCTCGGGGAAAAGAGGAAAACATTTTCCTTCTGAAAAAACATAAAAAACAAATACATGCTTAAAGTCTTCCAATGTCCTGGCTTCCTGAATTTCTTTGTTCCCTGGCAAAACAATAGAAGCCACACTGCCTCGGCAAAATTTCCATTGTTAATAAGTTGTTTTATGTGCTTTTGGGTAAAAAGCACCAGCAGCAAACAGAAGGTTTCTTTGGGAGAAACGCAGAGCATATAATGGAGTTGATTTGGTAGGCAGTGTCTTCAATGATCGCAGCCTATTGGTATTCCCAGATTTATTCTCTTCAGATTTTGGTAACTTGGTACTCGTGCTTACATCCCACAATTTCACAGTGCAATCAGCAGAACCAGATGCAAGAAGAGATCCTTCACAGCTGAAAGCAAGTGTCCACACACAAGAGGTGTGACCAACCAAAGGTGTTATACAGCGGCCACTAGCAAGATCCCACACCATGATTTTCCCATCTTCATCGCCTGATGCCATATAACGACCATCAGGTGACATTGCCATTGACAATATCATACTCCTGTGACCAATGAAAATTCTGACACAGTCTCCACTCTGGACATCCCACAAACGAACAGTTTTGTCACTTGATCCAGTAGCTATGTAGTTGCAATTTGCATGCCATTGAACACAATCAACATCAGACAAGTGGCCAGCCATTATCCTCAGAGGCTGTATTCTGTCCATTGACCAGATCCTTGCAGTTCGATCATGTGAAGCACTAGCAAAGTAATGCCCAACAGGGCTAAACTGAACATCCCATACAGGATAATTATGGCCTTTATAACAAACAAGATTTGCATTTAGTTTTGTGCTCCACAGCCGAATGGTTGAATCAGATGATGACGATAAGAGAAAATCATCATAAGGACTGAAGGTGGCAGAATAAACTGGTCCACAATGACCATGGATTAATCTATAGCATCCTCGCTGCCCATTTTCCCCAAGGTCCTGCTCATTGGACGGGGAACGGATACCCTGCATGGGAAAATTCAAAGATTGTTGTGCCAGTTTTGCCATGTCCCACAACTTCAGTGAAGAATCCGAAAAGCCACCAGCCACCAGTGATCCATCATTAGATATTGATGCACAGTTTAATCCATTTTGAGTATTAAGAAAGGTATACATGTTCACAGAGGGCAATGCCAGGCTACTTAGCTGTACACGATTTCTCAAGTCTTCAAGAATAGAGTGTTCTACCTCCATATGTATTGCTGGCAAAGGTAAATCTGGCTTAACAAGCGGTGTTGCCGAAGCCGCACCCCCCTCTGTGTGTGCAACTTTCCCAATTGGACCTCCTATCTTATCTTTTTTCAGCTTTTTCAGTGAAGCATCCTGCCTCCCTCCTTCAACTGATTGAATCTTGTTATCTTCAACCTTTTCTGACTCAGAAAGCAAACCTCCTGCCTTCTCCAACCGCTCCTCTATAGAATCTTCAAGCAGCCCCCAGTGGATTTCTTTCTGGTTTACCAAACTTGCAGTTTCCCGACCGCTCCCAATAAGAGTTACAACATCAGCATCATCTGAAACCGAACCAGGCTGTCCAGTGGAAACTTCAAAGTTTATATGCTCATTTATCATCCCTAGCATCACAGTGGCATGAGCCCTGTGCAAGTATCGCAGCAAAAGTTCATAGGAATACTGACACATTTTTATGTTCACTTTGCTTTGCCTTAAAGAATGAGCAAACTCCATTTCCTGTAAATGTGATGGTGACAGGACAGCTTCTAGTTTCTGGAGATCACGCAGGTGAATCATCTCGTGGTCTTCTCGAAAGCTATTAAAAAATGCCCGGGCTTCTTGAATGTGACCTTTAGCCACAAGATCCATGAAACAGTGTATGAATACAGGATAAAGAACACGAAGCAACTCATGCTTGTACAAATCCAGAGAGCTATCTGCCCAAGACCGAAGCTTGCTGTACTGATCATGGTACTGTGCAGGAACATTTTCAAATTGATGGAGAGAGAGAATCTGTTTGGCAAGAGGGTCAGTTTGGGAACTATCTGAGGAGTTGGTGCTGGATAGAGATAAACCCTTCTTTTCCAGATATGCTATCACCGCCTTTTCAATTTCTTCTTCACCCATATCGAGATTAACCCTTAATGTATCCTTAACTCGAACGAAGCATATAGTCTCTTAAACCCCAATTAATCACATCAACCAAAGCAATGTCTTCAACTCTAAGAAAGCGCGGCAATGGGAGGGTGCGCAGAAAGCCGGGATGTTTGGATACACGGCTGCGCCACCACCGTGTGATGCGTGAGGGAGAATTAGGGATTGGAACTTTAGCCAAGTATTTTGAAGCGAGCTATATGTATATGAAGCACGGATACTTCCGGTTGCGTATTGGCCTATCTTATACGACAAGGGATACTTGTACGGTACGTTCCCTATCTGCAATTTTTAAAAGTTTCCATTTTTTTTGTAATTTTTTTAAAGTTTCCGATACTCGTATCCTGACGGATACCCGTACCAACTTTAAAAAAAATCCCAAAATTTACTTAATAAAATTCTAAAAAATATGAAAATCTAAAACTACATTTTACTTCGTAATCAAATAATGGGCCTATATGGCTATATTCGAATTAAGTCATTAACTCATACTCCGAATTGGGTACTTGCACTTTTAATTTCAAGATTGTAGATGTTAGACTTATTTCTCATTTTAAATTAATGACTTATTGAGTACATTTATATTTCGAGATACACTGGTGTATATGAGAAATATTCTGAATTTATTACTAAATATCTTGAAAAAGGAAAATGTTTCAATGCAATGAATGGGTAGACATCATAGGATATTAGATGTGTGTGTATATATATATAGAGGAAAGTTCATGTCAGGACCTCCAAAAACGGACCTCTGTACGGACCTCGGCGTTTGGGCCCCTTCCCGGTGGATTTTTTGATGAAATTGTTTGAACATGTTCTCCATCAAGTCTAGTTTAACCATACCAAATTTCAGCTAAAAATTCCATTGGCAAGATAGTCAAATTATTTTTGGGAGTTAACTACATTTTATACGTATATAAAGTGCGCAATTAACCTCCAAAAATCGTTTGACTGCCTTCCCGATTAAATTTTTAGCTGAAATTTTGGTATGGGTAAACTAGACTTAATGAAGAACATGCTCAAAAAAATTCATCAAAAAATTCCACCGGAAAGGGGCCCAAATGCCGAGGTCCGTACGGAGGTCCGTTTTTGGAGGTCCTGACAGGAACACTACTCTCTCTCTCTCTCTCTCTCTATATATATATATATATATTCAAAAAAATCTATTTTTAATATTTATAAATAGACCCCTATAACTTTTAATATTTGTAAATACATCCCCATAACTTTTAATATTAATAAATATGGCCCCGTATCCGTATCCTACTTTGTTTTGACGTATCCCTGTACCCGTTTCCGCGTTTCCGCGTACCAGTATCGGTGCTACATAGTTGACAAGCGAGTAATTTCTGCGTGGTGGGAAGAAAAAATCAGGGCAAAATTGCAAAAAGCCCTCTTTAAAATTTTTTTGATATCTTTCAAAAATATATATATATTTTTTCAAAACAAAAAATCTTTCAAAAAACAAGCGTATGTTTGAAAAAAAAAAAGGGATTTTCAATTTTTGTCTTAAAAAGTTAGAAATAGTGTTTTCAAGTGACAAAAATTATGTTTGTATTTTTTCTAATCATAAAGGGGTAATTTGAGTTTGCATCCCATTTTATTATAATATAATACTCAAGAAAAGTTCATCTCCTTAATTCCACCGTTCGGCCTCCACGATTCAAAGTGGTTCTCGGTGAAGATTTTTGATAGAATCTTTTGACCATGTTTTTCATGAAGTTTAAATTATGTCTACAAAATTTCAGTTCAAAATCATTTTGGGAGGTCGGTTAAATAAAAAATTGAAAAACACTGCATTTTAAATGCATATTTTGGCGTAGTGTTTTTCAATAATTTTTTAACTGACTTGCTGATTGAATTTCAAGCTGAAATTTTGTGTATGTAATCTAAAATCTAAATTCATGTCGAGCATACTCACAGAATTTCATTAAAAAGCTCCATCGGGAATCGCCTCAAATCGCGGCAGCCTGACAGCGGTTCCGGTCAGGAGGTTCTGACCGGAATATTACTCTATTATTAGATTCTTTATCTATTTAACTTTTTTTATTAATTTTGTTACTAGTTTTTTATGATTATTTCTTCTCAAAAGTTTCTTAGTTTTATAAGATAAAATAGATTTTTTTAAAGAGAATATTAAAATAAAACTCTTGAAATTTTATGTCTTAGATTGATAGTTTTCAATCATTCAAACTCCATATTGATATATTTTTATCTTCTAGATCTCTTATTGATAACGAACACATCTTTCAAGTCTCAGATTGATAAAATTACATTTTCAAATAAACAACAAAGAAGTATATCATTCCATTTTAGAGATTATATATATATAGAGGACTGCTTAGGTCCACCCGGAGGGATGGGAGCAGCCGTCCGAACTTCACTGTTTGGGGCGATTCCCGGTGGAATTTTTCGTTGAAATGTTTTGAGCATGTTCCTCATCAAGTCTAGTATGTCCATACCAAATTTCAGCTCAAAATTTGACCGGGAAGGCATTCAAATAAATTCTTGAAGCT